ACACAAGTGAATTTACACAAGAAGTGCATTTGTTGCCTGTTGTTGTGCACGTATTGCAGTTGTCATCGCATTTATTACACTCGTTTGTGTTGACTAAATAATACCCATCTTGACATTTTGAACACCCACTTTGTGTAACATTCACAGCACATCCAACTATTCCACCTTGTGGCAAACAGTCACCTCCATTTGTTTTGTAATTTGTTTTATTACACGTGTAACAATTTTTCTTGTCGTTGCAAGTCTCACAATTTAAATCACACTCAAAACAATCAAGACCAACTCGGTAATACCCATCTTTGCAAACGACACAACCACTCCCAAAACTTGCGAATTGTAAACATTTTACTTGTAAGTCTTTATTTGTGTTGCATTTGTAATCTGACAAATACATGCCACTTTTGCAACTCAAACATGTAGTTTCATTATCAAAACAAGTCAAACAAGTACTGTCACATTTCTCGCAATTCTTTGTATTTTTATCATAAAAATATGAATCTTTACATTTTATACATCCAATACTATTTTGTACCTCACAACGAATATCACCTCTATTTTCACATTTGTTTTGTGATAAAATAAAGTTGTTATCACATTCTTCACATTTTGCATTGGTAAGTATTGTACAATTAATTATTTCTTTGTTGCACCTCCCATTTGTGTCATTTGGAATTTCACAATTTTTGATATCACAATTTCTATTGATACTCATTTCATTGTTTGTGTCACATTTTGTTACTCGCCCATTTTCACACAAAGAAGAGTTAACGCATTTTTCGCAAATATTTATATTTAAAAAATATCCATTTTTACATGTATTTATATTTGTATCACTTGTTGTCTCAACTTTGGTTTTATCACTTTCAATACACTCTCCATTCAAATTCAACATTTTCTTATTGTTGTTTTCACATATTTGACAAGTCCCATCTATTTTGATTACATTACAGTCGGTCACTTTTTCACAATTTCCATTCTTCATGTAAAAACCATTCAAACACTTTTTACACCAATTGGATGTCGAAAATAAACAATTTTCATTTTTTATGCAATTCCCATCAATAAGTTCGTAAGTTGATTGACATACTTCACAAACACTTCTGTCGTTTGGGCAATATTTACAATTTGAAACATCACAATCATTTAAAATATGGCACTGTTGTGACGATTTGTTGTATAATCCATTTCCACACTCAACACCACTTATTATTTTTATTCCATTTTTAGTGTTTAGTGCGGTGTTGTATTTAACATTTCCATAAACCAGTTTAGTTTCTGAAATAAATAGGACTTTTTTGGTGAGTGAATATAATTCCAGTTTAACTGATATTTTTGAAGTAATTTGAACAATCATATTATTTGTTTTGAAAAAAGAAATTTGAGTATTACCAATTGTGGCACTTTCATCAGTAAAATCGTCATCAACTTTTTTAATATTCTTGTTTTTATAGTTTTTTGTAGAGTCAACAGTGATTTTTAAAAATGTGATATTTGCGAATGGAGTAATATACCAATCCTCTTTATCTTCACATGGGCAATATGGTTCGGTATAACTCATTGTATTCGTCGTAGAATCGAATTGATTCAAGTGACAAAATATTTTCTTTGAATTTCCATTTCTATATAAATGGCCGTCTAATAATAAATTGGTTTGTGAAGCGCTAACAACTGGGGTTTTTGAGTAAACCAAATCGAAATTCCAATTATTGGTCACATAATTGTTATCAGCCAAATTAAAAGAATTCACAAAGAAAAGAGGGAAGTCTCTTATCGTTCGATTTGTAAGGAAGAAATTGCAGTTATTCATATTTGTTGAAGTATCCACATATATAATTGAATTATAAGTTATATTAACAATTCCTTGAGAGCACACAAATGAAGAACAATTGACAGTTGGTATTCCATTTACACCATCTAACACTAGTTTACCATTTGGATGCATGTTAAAATACGGAGTGTTGATAAATGAATTATCTGACATTAACACAATTCCGTTTGCAATTTCACTCGATTTGGTTACAGTAACTTTTGCGTTTCCATTTAAATTGATTGATGAACTATTATACATTAAAAGCGAAAACAAAACTTTCATTTTTGCTTTTTCTTTAAGTGAAATAAATGAATTTTCATAAACACTTAAAGTGCTAAAAGAAATTAACTCCGAGTTTCCGTTACAATACAATCGAGAATTTTTATCGAAATTTATAATATTTGCTGTTATCTTCGCGTTTCCTTCAATTATTCCAGTAAAAAATCCACTACATTTGAACTGACTACCACTTTGTATCTGAGAATTATCTTTAACAAATAAGTTTGAATTTTCCAAAAATGTGATATAAGAATACATGTGCATTAAAGACATATTTTTCATTGTTAAAGATACATTGTTATTAAACGATATAGAGCCTTTTGATGTAAAATTGGAATTACCTTCAAGAATAAAAATCGAATTATCGTTTATATAATTCGGATATTCTGTGTATATTTTAGAGTAGCCTTTCATTTCAATTTTCGAATTTGAATAAAGCTGTAAATTAGTATTGATATTTGTAACAGATTTACCATCCATTGTGAGATGGGCGGTATTAAAAAATGTAGTCATTTGTCTACACTTAAATACTGTGTTATCTTGCATAAGTATAATAGAATTGTTTTTAAATGCAACTTGTTGTACAACAATTAATGAACTTGAGTCAATCATTATTAAATTGGAATTTGTTTTTAAATTTAAAATGTCATCTAAATTGATTTCAGCATTATTCATGATTTTCAAAATGACTTGTGTTGATGTGTTTTCAATTTGTAAAACATTTGATTGCGAACAGGAACTCGTTATTGTTGCATTCGTTGACAAAGGACTTGTTAAATTACATTGATCATAAGATACAACCATATCAATAAGCAATATAAACACAATATAACACTTATATTGAAATCCCAACATATTTGTAATATATAGTATGAATTATGTTTTAAATATGCAATTTTAAATGGGTTTAAAACTTTTCGTGTTTCGAAGTTGTCGATGTTTTAAATATAAATATATTAGTTGACCGTTTATTAATATACATTGAATGAAAATTTCATGTTTTGATTAAAATATATTTTTTATTTTAATTATAACAAATAAAAATATACTAAATCGTTAATATAAAATGCAACTAATAAATGAGACAATTTTAATACAAAAAGAAAAAAATTGTTTTTATAAAATAATTGCTTTCAAAATACGATAATTTTCTGTTGTTGAAATATATAAAAAATATTTTTCGAATAACAAATACTATCAAATACATCTATTTGTTGTGATTATATTTGTCGAACTTATTTATTTGTCTAACATCTGGGCAATATTTTGGTGTTCGACAATTAAACAATTTGTTCTCGAACCTGTAACTTTTGATAATAAAAAACAGTTGTTATTACAAAATTCACTCATAGACGATAGATAGATAAATTCTTTTGCTTAATTTTCAACAAGCGGACATTATTGTTTTTAAAGTGTGTTTATTTATTTAACGATATCAATTTACTATGATAATTTATAATATTTTTATAATTCATATTTAAAAAAACTTTTTATATCGAAAAAAAGGTTTTTTAAATTTTTGTTTTTTTTAATAAGAAATGTTTACTTAACTACAGTAAAAAACTATAAATATTAGAACAATAAGGGCACTTTGGTAAAAATATAAAACTGTGAAAATTACAGTTTTTGAACAAAATCTTTTAAAAAGAATGAAAATTATTTATATAACAAAAATTTTAATAACACAATTCGAATAACATTTTAATTATCGAAAATCCAAATAACGAAAATACAACAATTTGTTTTAATTTTAATAAACTTGCTTTTCTCTGGTCAATCATTACCTCTTATTCCGAGTCGCAGCAAATTTTGATTGTTTTAAAACCCATTTAATGACACCTCTCAAAGTAATAAAACTTGAAAATTATTGTATCACTTTGGTTGTTGATTCGATAACTGTTGATGGATACCAACATGTTTTTAAAACTGATATTAATGAAACAAACAATATGAAATATTTTTTGATTTTATATTAATTAAAATTTTAAATTTATTTATAGAAATTATTTTTTAATTAATCACTTTACACTTAAAAAAACACTTCCTGTTAAAAGCGTATTCATATACTCTTTTAATTTTTCGGGAATTGACCACTTATTTTTTAATATTATAAATGTAGTAAAACAAACTATATTATCAAAATGATCTAACAACTTACCAAGTTCCAAGAAATACAAAAATAAATTCAAGCAAGTTTAACATTGAATTAATTTGTTGTTAATTCACAACGTCTGTTTATATTTTTGTTGTTCTGTTTTATTTTTCGAAATCATTGAAGAGACTTGTTAACACCACTTATTAAACTCAATATGTTTCACCAAAATCAGTCGATTACATTGCAGTTTATGTTGATATTATTTAGTGAAAATATTAACTTTTAAAACCAGATAAACTTGAGTTACAAATTGGTTTTCCACCCATAGTGAATAGAATTTGATTGTGCTGTTAAGTATTCAGAACAGGTACTTTGTTGAATTTTTTTATTTGTTAAATAAATAATATAGTATCTATTAGCTTTTAAACTAAAAATCAAACTAAAAATAAGAAACTGATAAAAAATAAAATTGATGGTAAATGAGAGAAAGCGTTATCGCTTTGCTTGGAAGTATTTTTATATTTAGTGCATGACGTAAAAAATGGGGTGATGAGATGTATTTCTGAGGTCGCGGTGAAATAAAAGACACATTTATTACACAGAAGTTGACTTAATAATTCTAAAGGAAATAAATGATGAACCAACCACAAATTATGTTAGACTCATTGTCATACTTTTGTTTGTGGTTTCGCAAAAAATCACGTTCTTTGTGAAAGATATCTTTTACGTTTTCATGACAAAGTTTGCATTTTTATAGCGACTTTTGATAAAAAAAGATTCAGCCTATGGTGTCTTTGTGTTAGAATTTGAAGAAAATAACGACGAGTCAACGAGGATTTTCAAAGAAACTATTCTCTGGTTTGTTTTTTGAGAAAGGTTGTTTATACGTGATACTATTTGATGACCGTTTTGCGTCTTTTTGATATTTTAACTCCAACTGTAAATTGCTTAGAAACGAGACTTATAATCAGATATCAAAATACAATTATGTTACTTAATTATTTGTTTGTTTATCAGGTTTTTCGTGTGTATTACAATACACATTTTCCCTCTTTTTTGAGTTAGTGAAATTATATTTCAAAACATAAAATTTTTTTAAAAACATTTTAATCTAAAACATTTTTTCAAAGAAAAAAACGATGTTTTTAAGTGTTAAGAGAAAAAACAAATAGTTGCTAGAAAAACTGACAATATTCGTTAAAAACGATTTTTGTGTATTAAGGACGTCTTCCCGTTATTATTGACATCCTCGCTGTATATAAGATGTCCTATCAATTAATTTTGTGTCGAATTAATTAATTGATAATTATTTATTATTTATTATCCTCGAACTTTTAAAAATTATACAAAGTACATAATTTTACCATAAATTTACCATTTAAAAAAATTATTTTTTCAAATAAAATTAATCATGGACAAACATTATTAAACAGGTAAAATTTGTTATAAATTAATAGTTTGTATGAATTGATTCATTTTTTTTGTTTAGTTGGACATTTATAGTCACTTTAACGTGGCATTTTTTGATCATGGATTTTAAACTTTCAACATTTAGCAATAAATCATCGATACCAAAATATTATGGTGTCATTTAGGCATAATTGTTGGCGCAAAACATAAAAAACAATTTCGATTATATTATTATAATAAGCAATTAAAAAAGCAATTACACAAATGATTTTTTTTATAATCAACAGTTTTTTCTTTTTATTTTATAAGATTATTTTATTTTTTTATTTATAAAATTTTCACTGTTTAATAATAATATTTTTTTCAAAATAGGAAAGATAAATAATTAAGATATAAAATATTCTCCATGGAATCTCGGAGTAATACCAACAAAGCTTATATTGACGCAAATAAATCACACAAAAGAAAAACATTTGATAACCTATGAACAAAAATGTAAGTAATCATACTTTGAATTCAATTAAAAAAATAAACGAAATTATTGCGGAAGTTGATTTGTCACAAAGTACAGTAAGTGGCATTATTAAATAATATAAAAATACAAAATAATGTTTCCAACATAAAAAGAGGAAGAGAAATCAATCAAACAATGAGTTGATAAAAGATTCATTACATAAACACATGAAACCCATCACAAACAATTATTCAATTTTCTACAAGTTTGAAAGAAATTTGATACAGTGAAAATACGTCTGAAAATGATGGGAAAATAGTTTAAAAATGACAGATTTTATTTTAAAAGGACAAGATTTTTAATAAAAAGGATGAAAATCATAAAAAGTGATGGAGATTTGTTTTAAAAAGGACAGGTATTTTTATTGAAAAGGACAGGATTTTTGATAAAAAGGACGAATTTCGAAAGAAATGATGATTTTCATGAAAAAGGACAGGAATTTATTATAAAAAGGATGGAATTTTTGTTAAAAGGATGGATTTCAAGAAAATGTGACAGCCATTTTTTTGAAAAAGGATAACATTTTTAACAAAAAGGATAGATTTTTTAATAAAATATAATTTATTTCCGACGTTTTCCCGATTTTAAACACAAAACACAAACAATTAAAATACCATAATCAAGTTTAAAAAAATAAATCTGATAATGAATAATTATATCATAATAAGAAAGAGCGTTTTAACGCAATTTTAAATCTTGATCTTAATAATTGATATAAATGTCACAATCTTTGACTTCTATCGACTCCAGAGACCCGACAACAAGGAATGAATTTATTGAAAATCCACCAATTATCCAACTGAATGAACAACAGCGCCAGGTTGAATCTAAAACACCTTTTATTTTTTAAGCTACTTAGAGAAAAAGAGGAAGACTTAATAGATATTTTATGGAATTGATGAAACGTTGTGACGACAACAACATTTCAGCAGTGTTTTGGTGTGACAATTGAACTATACACAACCATTTGAGGGAACCATTAACTAACACTCACCATTCAGTTGTTTATAACGCAGCCTACAGCCCTGAACTCAACCTGATAGAAACTATTTTTGGTTTTTGAAAAAGGTGTGTAGAAAATGACATACGTATTTAGTCTGGCCTTGGCGATTTTCTTGAAAAAAAGATAGATTTATTTCAATTCAACAAGCTGAAGTAATAGCGTCAATGGAGAGATGTCGCAACGATATTTGGGGAAAAGCATATGAAAGAAAAGACTTATAATTTCAAATTGTTTGTGTTTTGTGTTTAAAATCGGGAAAACGTCGGAAATAAATTATATTTTATTAAAAAAATCTATCCTTTTTGTTAAAAATGTTATCCTTTTTCAAAAAAATGGCTGTCACATTTTCTTGAAATCCATCCTTTTAACAAAAATTCCATCCTTTTTATAATAAATTCCTGTCCTTTTTCATGAAAATCATCATTTCTTTCGAAATTCGTCCTTTTTATCAAAAATCCTGTCCTTTTCAATAAAAATACCTGTCCTTTTTAAAACAAATCTCCATCACTTTTTATGATTTTCATCCTTTTTATTAAAAATCTTGTCCTTTTAAAATAAAATCTGTCATTTTTAAACTATTTTCCCATCATTTTCAGACGTATTTTCACTGTATACATTTTTTGGAAATTCCTGGTACTAAGAGGATTAATTTGCACAAATAGTGGGTGTTATACAATAAAAATATGTTAGAAATTAACACTTAACTATATTAATCTATAAAAAACAACAACATAAACCAAAGTAATTTCTTTTATCTTTTAAAACAAAAATTTGTCTTTAGTTGTTATGACAACATTTTTATCTTCAAAAATTACATTCTCTTTTCCAACCGAATTATAAAAACAGAATCTCCCAACATTTTTCACGCTTTTGGGAACGAAAATTGTTTGCACCTCTTTATATTTTCTGAAACAATTATCACATAGTCCAACAACATTGTTTGGAATTTTTCCAACTTTTTTGCCATTTTCAAAAACGATTGCTAAGTGTTTTTTAACGTCTTTTCGAGTGAATAAAATAGTATCACAACAAACTCCGTTTTCTGTCAAATTGTGAGCTATTTTGTATGTGACGGGTAAACTCACTTTAGTTGCCTTTTTCCCATTAACGTAAAATTCCTTTAACATTTTGCACTTGTCGAATATATCAATTTCGCATTTTGGTATTTGTCGTCCAAATGTCACTGCAATTAGATTTTCACAATTTTTGAATGCGCCATTACCAATTTTTATGACAGACTCTGGAATTTCGATGTTTATCAAACTTACACAATTCTTAAAACAGTACCCTCCTATACTTTCAACTGTATTTCCAAGTTTTATTGTGGATAAATGAAAACAATTCAAAAACGCATGTGTTCCAATTGAAATCACATTGTTTGGAATAATAATACGTTTTAAATTTTTCATCTCCTCAAAACTCGATTTTTTAATTTCAGTGACACTCTCAAGAATGATAATTTCTTCTAAATTGCAATTTGTAAAAGGTCCGTTATAAGTTGTACACGTAATATTATTTTCATGAGTGTTTTTGATGTTAATTGAAGTGAGTAAATAACATGAATCAAACACGTTACTTACCGAATAAACAAAAGCTGGAACATCAATGCTCTTTACGTTTTCACAATTTGAAAATGCGGAACTGCCAATGTCAACCAAACTTATTGGAAGTACAATTTGTGTAAAATTGATGCAATAATAAAACGCAAATTTTCTGATTGATTGAAGTGCTTGTGAAAATGTGACGTTTTCAAGAGAATAACAAAAGGCAAAAGCGCCATAATTGATATTGCGAAGTGTCTCTGGAAACTCGACTTTCTTTAAATTTGGAAGATTAGAAAAACAATGTGAATTGATTTGTGAGACCCCATTTGGTATTATTATTTGTGTAAGATATAATGGTAATTGATATCGGTCTGACCCAATCACTTTGTAACCCATTGGAATGTATTTGTAATATTCAAAATTGTTTAACTCAAATTCTAAATTGGTGCATTGAACTCCACATTTTTCAATGAAATTTTGTTCTTGTTTTGTGACAATTCCCGTGTAATATTTATTTCCACAAAAATCAATTGAAGTTGGTTTTATTTTACTTTGGAATAATTTTGTCCCAATTTTTGTCAAAGTTGTTGGAATAGTTAAAAAATTTACATCACACTCAAAACACTCATCTTCAAGTTCTTTCACGCATCCCAAATCAATACTTTTTAATGCGTCCATACCAAAAAAGCCAGTTGATATTTTCGTGACATTTTTTGGAATTACAATTGTGTCAAGTTCTTCACTTGAAAAATTTCCTTGTAATTCATAGAAATAATTTTTATCTTTAATTTCATCAAATTTTAAAAACGTGTCTTTTGAATTGAAATAGCAGACGTGATCACCAAAAGTATAACCAAAAGGTGTTAAGACTTTTTCGTCTTCATTTGTTACTTTAAATGTGACTTTTTTGTTGTTGTTTGGTATTTCAAGAGAAGTTAGTACAACACATCCTTCAAAGCAACCGAACGAAAATTTTGCACGTTTGTTGATGTGAAGACTTTTTAAAGATGAACAGTTTTTGAAGCTAAATTGGCATATTTTAGTCACATTTTGCATGTTAAATATATGTTTTAAATTGACACAATTTTCAAATATTGACTTATTAAATTTTTCGATGTGAGAAGACATATAAATTTCTTCCAAATTATCAAATTTATTAAGTAAAACACGTTTGATATCGAAAACGCTCTGAGACATATATATCACTTGGATATCGAAATTATCATTAAATGGCATATTTTCTATTTTTGTGAAATTTTCGGGTATAAAAAACACCGAGTCTGTACATTCAAAATTGCAGTCGTATGACCTACCGAGTGTTGTATACTTACTGTCACTTTTTAACTCTCCTTCTGAACCAAAATCGTCATCCAAAGTACACTCAAATGTTTCATTCAACCGTTCATACACATCAACTTCGTTTGGAGAAATTTTGTTACGTATAATTCCATTAACAACCAAACATGTTAAACTAGTGCAACCATCAAACACCCCTTGTTCTATTTCACATGCTTCATTAAATACAAGTTCCTGAAGTTTTTCACAGTTCGAAAAAGTGCCAAACTCAACTCAAAGTAAAGTGTTTGGGATGGTAATATCAACAAGTTAACTGCAATCACAAAAAGCTTGTGCTTTAATTGAAATTAAATTGTCTGGGAGTACAACGCGTGTTAATTTGGTGCATTTTTCGCACATGTAATATGGCAAAACAGTAACGTTCTTGGATATAACAAGTTCCTCTAAATTAGCGCATGACTTAAACAGATTTAAATCAAGCGATACGACGGTATCAGGAATTGATAATTTGATAATACCACACTCTTCAAAAGCAGAACTTTCAATTGATATAATTGTGGTTGGAACATTTACAGAAACCAAATTCTTGCAAGAATCAAAACAAGACGACGGTATGATTTTTAACCCGTCACACAGTGTCACTGAAGTAAGTGTGGTATTATTGTAAAAGCAAGAATGGTACAATTCAGTTATATGTGTTGGGACACTAAACTCTTTAAAATTAAAAGTGTTTAAAAATTTATATTCATATATTTTTATGGTTTTGGGTATTTGGTCAAATGTTGTGATATTTTGTTTTTTGATATCATATGAAGATATAGTCACATTTTTAAATTCTACATCAAAGTCTGGAAATAAAGTTTTTGTTTCAGAGTAAGTCACTTTGTACAAGACGACAAGTCGGGATATTCCAGCAAAAATATTATCAAATTTTGTGTATAAGTATTGAGTCTCCATATATGGAAACAATTTGGTGGATTTTACGGGAATCGGGTTGTATCGAAATCGGTCAAGTACCATTTCAAATTTTTTACACGTTAACATCGAGTTGATATAATCTTGTTCATACAAGAAATATTTCATTACGATTTGGAAATGAAAAGCATCTAATTTAACTTTCATCATTTGGTGTTTTTAAAGATCACATTCTTAATTTATATATTATAGAATATTTTTAATATGTTTATAATAATTTTTGATTATAAATATACAATTGAGAAGTAACCTAAATATCTTATAGTTAGTTAACCCATATAGCCTGTTAAGTAACTGAACTATAGTTGACTTACAAACTATATTATAACTAATCCAATTATCATAAATATATGGTTTTATTATAATTTAAATCAAATTCAAAAAATATAACAATTATATAAAATAATTCAAATTCACTATAATATATAATAATAATGTTATATAGTTAATTAATTAATTAAAAAAAGTTATAAATAACAATTGTTATAA